GCTCCAGGGCTGCGCATGTTGATGGCAGTGCTGCAAGAGATGGCCTTTGGTCTTGGTTCTTCAATACCCAACCTTTAAATTTTTTGGGTTCTTAAAATTTAGCAGTAATCTGAAAGTTTAACCTTTAATTTCCCTGGCTTCTTGGGGAAGTAAGTGGTTCCGTTAGAGTTTCTGTGAGAAGGCACAGACGCCCATTTGCCCAGTGGTCGCTGTGAGTGCAAACGATTCGGTGGCGATTTGCAAGTTCACCCGATTCCTGGCGGATAAGTTGCTATAATTATGGTAGAGTATTCTCAAAATCCCTGATATTACGTACGATACGACTTCGTGCATGATGATGCCAGGTAATGCTGCTCTTCGTAGTAGAATCCGGAAGGACAGCTTCGACATGCAGACATTACATACGACAGGCCTGCATGCGGCTGACCAGCGACGTTTCCGCGAAGATGAGCTCATGGAGCGGGCGAGCAGTAGAAAGGCAGCATGGTATGCCTTCTTGGCTTGAGAAGTCCGGCAAACTATCGCAAGAGCAGAATCAAAATGATGCTCCGACTTCGCAGGGAGAGCAGCGTCTGCTTTGGAAGCTGTATGTCTCACATTCCATCTGTGCTCGGCGCATCCGGGCCTGTGTGAGGCCATCCCAACACTTCAGGAAGCTGTGAGCCAGTCGAACACATCTCCTACACGGAAGAGTTTGGCTGGGATCCTGGTATGTGCATTTGATGAAATTAATTCGCAATGTGAGATTACAGGCTGCCATTTATACGGGTTCCCCTGCCTCAGAGGAATGACCTATGTAAGGCTGGGGCAGCACGCGTGTACTTGGCCCTGGCTCTAGATGCGCACGAGCTCGGAGACAGCCGGGCACTTAGGAATGCCGGAAGTCTGCTTGGCGAGGGTTCAGGGTTTAGTTTGTCATCGAAACCGGACGTTTTCCTCCAGGGCTCCTGTGCAGCATATATATATACATAATATAATAAAAAGTACATAATACAATATATTATGTACATATATATATATACACATACATTCGTACCAGAGTGTGTGCCGTGATGTCCGGCCCAGATCAGCTCCGGGCAGAGCAACTGGTTCGAGAAGGACTCCCTATGCCGGAGGCTAATAGGTTCAGGGGAGCACGCGGAGAATCGTGTTCTCAACGAGGTGGTCAGGTTTCAGATCGATTGCCATGCCCTGCCCAGGCATCGAAACCTGGAGCATGTGTGCAAGTCTCAGCTGATGAGACTCTGCACGTGTGTAGGGCTTCTGGTACCTGAGCATCGACCGAATGGGCCGAGGTGGCGAGCTCAAGAGAGGCTCCTGCCACAGCAGCAGTATGGCACTTACAACTCCCAAGGCACATTTCTGAATCTTCATACTTATTAGAAGTAGCGAACAGCAGCAGCAGCAGCAGCAGCAGCAGCACAGACGGCGGATCTTTAAAATGCTGGCAAACTTTGCGCTCGGGCCGGCGCGGCCTTTTGGCTCAAGATGAGACCGCGGCTAAGAGGCAGACACCAGTTTTTAGGATTCGGGCCTGGGAGGGCCTGGGGTATGCACCTGGCCTTCATTTGGCTCGCCAGCGCCTCTGTTTCTAAATTCAGGTCGTCCTTTTTATAGGGATGCTGTACTATATTGGGGACCTAAAAAGGGGACCCTACTTTAGGGAACTACCCACCCGGATGAGGGGCCACGGGGTCCTTTGCTGAGGTTCTTTCTACGTTCGAGCTTGGAACTTACATGGCCGCCAACACTGCAAATGTCACCAGCGCGGGGCATAGACTCTGTGGCGCTATTCTAGGTCCAGAGGTGTTGTACTATGCTATGATATAGTATAGGTTATTATTGTTATTATTATTATTATTATATATATGAGTCACGCGTAGTGCTGCATCGGACTCTCGGCTACTGTACTGGATCGGCCGAATAGCTTCTTCCCAATGCTTGTTGCCGAACATTGGGAAGACGATGCCTGTGACATCCTTTGACAATATGGGTGGTTCTCTAAATTAGGGTCCCTCCGCATGTCTCCTCTCACGCGATCGAGGTGTGGACCAAGCCTTGGACCTCAACAACATCCGAAGCGTGCTGCAGAGGATGGAGGCAGGGGGAGTGCTTGTGCCACCTAACCTCGCCTGCCCTTTCTGCCTCCACCAAGGATTCGATCATTTTTAGCTTGATTGAGCGCTCCCACTATCGAGTGAACAGCGGCAGACTCAGATGTTGTGGGCCGCCTTTGCCCTGCTGCCACAATGCTTCTCCCAACTGAGCATACCCTGTTGACAAGATGCTGTCTATGAGCCCAACTACAAGCCCTTGGGAAGGTCCCGAGCTCAGCTAAACCTTATAAACTCATGAGGGTAGTTCTCTAAATTAGGGTCCCTCGTGATATGGTAGGGCACCCATGTAAAAAGGACCCCAAAAAGGGACCCTAATTTAGAGAACTACCCAAGAAGCCTAAAGCTCTAAACGCCGGGCCGTCGAAACTCCAGTCGCTTCTTTTGCAGCTCCCAGGTTCAAGCTGCATCAGCTCAAGTCTTCCGGGTCGAACGGATGCCTCGGTGACTGGTCGGGGTCTCGTGTTTGGGTCCCCGATCCTCTATACTCACTAAACTTTAGCCTGCGGCCCTGAAGTCAAATCTGTCGGACGTGAAGGCCTTGCGCAGCTTTGGGGGTTTAGAGGTCTTTAGGGGCCGAGGAGGGTGGATGGTTCACAGAGGAGTGAGGAGCCAGTTTTCCAGCACAAAGCCTTCTGGTGCTTTGCAAGAGCGGCCGAGCACGAGCTGGGAGATGATGATTGTTATTTACAATTCCTTTTGTCGGGTCCCTCGTGGACTCTAAACTCTAAGCCCTTAAGCCTGACAGGCATTCCGACCAATCCAACAGTGCGGGAGGAAAAGAGGTGACAACAAAAAAGCCCTTAAGTTCTTGAACGCCAGCAACGTTTGCAGCAGTGTCTCCACGAGGTTCATCTACCAGACGGAGTGCCTACACTCTCAAGTAAAGAGGCACCATGGCAGCATCAAAATACATTATATCACATTATAGTATATAATCTCAGGTTATATATATATATATAGAGATAGTACATCATTACACTACATTATACTTTACTGCTTTTATATTATATCATATTATGCTATAAAATATTGCAAGGTTGCAGCAGAGTCTCGCCGACGTCCTCGCAGGTACGAGCACCCGACGGAATTTTCATTCTTCAAGCCGCTTCCAGAGCCGGAAACTTGAGATGAAACCACGGCATCCGACAGTAACTACTGCTGTTTAGGGCTTAGGGTTTAGGGGATTTAGGGTTTAGGGCTGATGATCTAAATCCTGCATTACCTTAAGGACCCTAAGCTATGGGAACTATGGTGAATTCCTTATGAAGAGTAATGCAGGATTCTTTATCATCAGCCGTACGGTTCGGTCGCGTCTAAGGCCCAGTCTCGGCCAGACCATCAGCGAAGCAAGTCCCACCAGCAGCAGAGGCGAGGGTGACAAATAGCAATACTCTTCGTTGGGGGCTCTTAAATTTGTCGACTTCTCGCACAAAGACATATCCCAACTACTGTGCTTACCATACCTGGTCCTAGGGCTCCATGTTGGAAATTTTAATGGGATTACCCTGCAACGCGCTGCTGCGCTTTGTTGAGCTTGGCAGCCGATGCAGTGGCACTCCCAAAAAGCTTGCAGGCGAGGACGGGTCGGTCTTGGCTCCCGTGCCACCGGAGGCCCTGCTGCGCCAAGTGGAGAAGTTTCCTAAACCTGAAGCCCAATGTATGCCCGAAGCCCCAGAAGCCCTAAATCAGGGCTTTAGGGTGTAGGGTTTTGGGTTTATAGGGTTTAAACCCTAAACCTTAAGACCTTCAGAAGCCATGCCTGGATTGTGCGAGTGCGTGAGTCGAAAGTCGATGAACCCCGCAACTGACGATGCAGACGGACCTTTAAAAGCTGTCAGAAAGCAAAAAATCCTATGAGCCCTCGCCGAAACCCCATGTTCGACTTCGCTTTTAAGTTAAAAGCCCTGTTCGCAAGGCTGTGGTGAACCCGAAGCTGCTGGAAATCTACAGAACGAAGATGATCCCTTCGTTGTGGCCCGTCCGTGACATGAGTAGAGCTGAGAGGGAGGAGTATGCAGGCAAGAGGGCCCCCGTTTTCTGTGGGGCTAAACTGAGTACACCTCAGACTTAGACCTCAGACTAGAGTATAAGCAGTTACCGGAACAGGCTTTCCTGCACATCGGCTTATGTTTTCTGTTCCCCTCGAGCCCCACCTACTTGGAGATGTGCTCTCAGGTGCGAGGAAGGCGACGACGGAAACTATGGCTCAACCGCAGTGCAAGACGTGCCATGGTCCCAGCTCCTAGGTCTGAAACGCGTGATGCTGCTTTGGTTGGAGCAGCGTGTCGATCTGAACAGGGCCCCTGACCATGTGAGGACATAACCCAACCCTAAAACCCTAAGCCCCTAAGCCCCAAACCCCTAATTAAACCCCTAAACCCTAACCTAATCCCTTAGGAGGCGACTTGGGCTTCCCAGGCATGTGCTCCAAACCATCTCCACAAGGATCTACTACGGCCTGCTCTCGGCTCAGTTGCGTGCCATTGACAGTAGTAGTAGTAGTAGTAGTAGTAGTAGTAGGAGTAGTAAGTAGTATTTCATGCAGGTGTTGGGAGAAGCAGAAGAGCAGTCGCACTCATATACAAGTCTTCTGGCAAAATGTGCAATGCGAGAAATGTGCATTCGTTGTTTCTTTCTTCTTTCCGCTTCTGGGACAGTTCACAGCTGACTGTCCTGACCCGTCCACTTTAACTGCTTGTCATGCTCGCGATGGCTTCGTCGTCGAGTTTTGCTGGCCTCTTGTGCTGCAACTTCCTCTAGCAGGTATATATGTAGCTGAGAGCGACATGACGTCGAAGCCGCCACGACTTTCACTTTTCATGTACGGATGTAAAGAAAAGACGGCACCGAGACAAAAGTCTGCGTCAGCTTTGGCCCACCTAGGTTTGTAGCAGAGTCCAAGTTCCGGAGTGAGCGCGAGAAGGCTACCGAGCTCATCAAGGCACCGAGTGACATTTAGAATTTTAGAACCTGTAAAACCTTTATGTCGAAAACACGGTAATCAGCAAGACCTTGTTAGAGCAAACTTGGTACAAACCCGTGATCAATGCCCGCAATAAAGACTTGAAGCCGTGCCCTGCCGTTGAAATCGGAGGCCCGTGACGAGGTGGCGGCCTCAACCACTTCATCGTGTGCACCGTGCAGCAGACAAAGCCTGGCTGCGATGGGCTACAATGATAGACCCGAAAATCTGAGATCGTATAATTAGATTCCTAGATTTGGAAATTTTGGACCCTATACACCCTGAACCGGACATGCCACGCCATAAATCCCGAAGTGTCCCCCCAAATCCGATCTCGTGAATCCGTGCCTGCCCGGTGCGAGTGTGCGAGTTGAAATTCCAATGTGTGCCAGGATGGACTGACGGCATTCATCACGAAGCCAGAAGTCGAGAAACGGAATGTCCAGCGGGTCATTCTCAAGGCCGGAAGCCGAGTCAACAAAATTGCACGGTTTCGCATGATCTGAAAAGGATCGAAATCCTTCAATGCCCAGTGCCTTAAAGTTAACCCTACACTGCTAAAACCTCGTCTGGCAGTATCCGAGTTGCGAGAGCGTAAACCCTAACTAAGCTAGTCAGCTAGGCTGCATTGGGAGGCTAGAACATGAAGGGAGCTGCGATGGTGTGGAATCCAGGTAAATCTAAATCTATCTGCCTGATGATCTTTCTGGTATCTAGTATCTAGTTGTTCCCCGAAACCCCGCCTCACTCTGTCGACTGCGAGTGCGTCGAGGATCTAACCGAAACAGGATAGTGTCCTCCGAGTGCCAGTGTGACAGTGCCATGTGTGCCAGGGGTGCATGCACGAAGCTGTGACCTCGCTCGCTTGTCGGCATGGCTCGAGATGCATCTTCTGCCTATGCTAGGCTACTGGCCCGTAGCATTCCTTTAAGAGTTCCGCTATGAGAGCAACCGAGCCATTCGCCGTGACGGCCTACAGCACCTGATTTTGTAAACGATTGCACCGCTTCCTGTCTGCGGACCTGTCCATTGCCCAAGCTTTGCCAGCAGCATTGAGCGAGCTGAAAAAACCAGCGGCTTTGTGAAGCTGACCAGTCACGCCCATCAGGCCACGCGCAGCTTGAAGCTGGGCTTTTCATTTGCCGGGTCTCGAAACATGTCGAGACCGGCACGCCTCCACAAAGGTGCCTTTGCAGCGCTGGGTACGCTGAAACTAAAGGAACTGTTTCTCACTTGCCACGCGATACTCCCTTCTATCCTCCTTGGGCCTCAGCTTTTCTGTGACCATCCCATCCTCGCGGATCAGCTCCCGTCATCTGTCGTCTGGGTGTGGGAGCTGATCCGCAAGGATGCTCCTTGTGGATCAGTTCCCGTCATCTGTCGCCGCTGTCGCCTGGGTGCGGGAGCTGATCCGCAAGGATGGGACGGTCAGAGAGAGAAGCTGAGGCCCAAAGAGGGAAAGGAGTTTGAGCTGACGGGCAATGCGTTGCAAGTGAAGGGAGCCTTGGCTAACAAGGCTCCTTTGACTTGCAACGCATTGCCCTGAAGAAGGACGACCATGGTGGCTTCCAGCTCGTTGAAAATGCCATTCTAATCGACCCAGTGCCGCAAAACGTTGCATACCTGAAGGAAGCCATCCAGAAGAAGAAGAAGCCAAATCGAGTGACGTGCGATGCAGATGCATTAACATGTACCCCCAGAAGGAGGATGGGGACTGGGTGCCGGAAGATGAAGAAACCGAAGTCAATCGCGGCAAATCTAAGGCAGATTGCTCCGGGTTGGTGCTGCCACTAGCGCACGATGCTTAAGTTGCATGTAGCAACAGCATTCACTGACGCTTTCTTGCGCTGCTGCTTTGCTTGACTTCCAGGATTAGCAGTCAAGTTTTCAAGTCAAGCGGCATCTTGCAAGGGTACAGGACCAGCGACAGATGCCAGCACTGGTCAAAAGCAGTTTCACAGAGGCACTCCTAGTTGTGCTTAAGTGCACAGACGGAATCAATCCATTTGAAGAAAGCTGTGCAAAAAGACATGAGCCCGTCGTTTGACATCGCGAAAGCGTGTGCATTCTGAACTGAGCTACCAAATCCTTGCGAGATTTCCAAAAAAAACAGAAACATCCCGAAACCCTCCGCAACCTCAAGGCCAAAACCCTCATACACTAAATCCTGATCTGGTTTAGAATCACCCTAAGCCCTAAACCCTGATCCTAACGTCCGCAACCATCAGGCCAAAACCCTCATACCGTGTCCCGGCCTGGGCGCATCGTCCAGGCCAAGGCTTTCTCAAGAAACATCGGGGGACAGGCCGATGAGGCCGGCTTGGGGTCTACAACACCTTAGGTTCTATACATGATACTTATATTTTCACATATATACATATATGTATATACATACTGATTTAGTAATTATAGAAATTGTGTAATTATACCTTATAGGGTTTAATACATTAGGGGGTCAGATCGAGCGAGTGAAGCTTGGATGGACAACTGGTTTATGGCCCCGGGGCCAGGGTTGGAGGAGCCAAAGCCATCAGGCCGGGGCTCCATGTAGCCGGATTGGGCAGTAAAGGATTTTGAGGTTCTTGTCGTCAACTCTTTTTTTTTTTTTTTCGGGGTGCGCCTGCCCACTCGGTCAGGGCAACGGCGACAACACAACATACAAGGTCAATCCAGAGTACATCGGTGCCCTGGCTGCTGATGTCCAAACTTTCCAGACATAATGGCACTCGACGGTGCTCTGCAGCACTCGGAGACAACAGCTCTCCCTGTTCGCTTCCGAGGCACTGTCTTCGAGGATTACATCATGCCTTTGACGAAGGAGGCCTGCAGTTTCTTAATGAGCGAGCGGGCTCGTGATGCCTACGAAGCCTAATACACCTTTGCATTTGCTTTGCCATTGCAGCTTTCTTGGCTTGTATGCCTTTCCGCACGGACATCGCTCACACGCGGAGGGCACAGTCTGTAGATGGTAGTGCCCAGGCAACCAGCGTTGAGCAGTGCGAAACGCATCGACCGGACAGGTAAGCTGCAAAGGTTCTGAAAGTGACCCGCCTTTCTACGGGTTAAGGCTCCCTCCATTTTTCACTCATGGTGCCGCAATGCAAACTGGATATGAGCCACTGCCAGACTGGCGGTCCAACACCAACCTTAGCTTCGACGGGTCAAAGCCGCTGCTGGTCCACGAAACTGTCGAGGCGCTGATGCAGTTTGGTGGACCTCATGCAGTGTACGTAGATGGCTCCTTCGGGCAGGGTGGTCATGCAGCAGAGATTCTGCGAAGATTGGCACCTGACGGCCGGCTGATCGCATTTGATGTGGACCCTCGAGCAGGGCAGCTGGCAATGCACATGGCTGCATTGGACACAAGACTTGACTTCCACGGACGGCGATCCTCGGAACTGGGCTACGTAGCAAACTACGGAGTTGCGGGCATCGTGTTGGACCTGAGCCCGCAGATGACTGCAGCAGAAGAGAGAGCACGTGGCCTTTCCTTTGTGGAAGCTGTGCCGCTGGATGGTCGCATAGGCCGGAATTCTGATGGTCGACAGCTGAAGTCTGCAGCAGTTTGGCTTCAGACAGTGAGCTTGTCCGAGTTGGCCTTTGTCCTGCAAGAGTATGGGGAGGAGTGGGTCTCGCCCTTGCAGGCATACAGACTAGCAGAAGCAATCTTGCACCGACAATCCGACAGAGGTCCCTACAGATCCACCTTGGAACTGGCCGATGTCTGCGTTGCAGTGAAAGGATTGGATGACCGGGGATTGCACCCGGCACCTTGGTGGTTGCTTTGAAAAAGCATCACTCTAAACTAAGCTTGTGAGCTTTACATCAGGGCCCTAAACCGTAAACCCTATGAGCCCTAAGCCCTCAAACCCTCTATAAGCCCTAAGTCCCCTATGAGCCCCAGAGCTAAGGCCAAGCTGCCTTTCCAGGCGATCCGTGCATTCCTTAACGAAGAGCTGGAGGAACTCCGGAAGACCCTAGAGGTTTCCAGGCTGCTTCCTGAGACTATTGGTTTTTGAACCCAGCTTGTCTTGAATTCACAGTAATTAGTTATGATTTTGTAGCGGCATGATGCGATTATTGCTCTTACTTGCTGTGTTCTTAAGAAAGATAAGCAGTCTCCTTGCGGTACAGAAGTAGAGAAGTGGCCGAAAGTTATAGCATGTAGGGTGGCCTATTCTTAGCAGAGAAGAAGGAGAAGATCTGTTCAAAGGCCGTCTCCGATGCCCAGTCCAGGTTTCACTCAAGTCCCTTCAAGTGGGTGGCCGACTTGTTGTCCTCACAACGCGGCGCCGGGAGGCGACGGAGGTGAAGCGCTTCATTCGCGAGTTCGAAGCTCCCGACATGAGGTAAGGGCTTTGGGGTTTCGGATTTTTGGGGGTTTCAGGGTTTAGGGTTCAGGACTTTTGGGGTTCAGGGTTTAGGGGGTAGGATTTTTTGGGTTCGGGGTTTAGGGTTTAGGATTGTTGGGGTTCAGGGTTTCGGGTTTAGGAGTGGGGTTCAGGGTTCAGTGTTGGGAGCTCTAGGATTAATAGAGTGCAGCTATACTTAAAAACCAACTGAGCCCGCACGTAGGGGGTTTCGGACTTTAGAAATTAGAGGTTTTGGGGATTGGGCGGGTTCTTCAGATAACGCAGGCGGCGCCGTATCTATGTGTATCCACATGGGCCCATGCCTTCATGTAGCCACGCAGGGGGCCCCAATGTCTGAAATTGCCAGGTTTGCAGAGTTCGTAACACCGCAGCGATTCGCTGAACTCTTCCCGTTGGCTGCCACCGACCTGCCCTATGCTTGCCGGCAGCTTTGCGAACCAATCCGGGCATCGGCGCTGGAGGTGTCCCGCAACCCACGGGCCAAAGCAGCTTTGCTGCATGTCTTGCAGAAAGAGGAGCGTCCTCTTGGACCTTGTGACGAACTTGGAGTTCTTGGATTAGTGCCAAGACCTTTACATCAGCAATTTCGGAAGCCCACACCGCTTCCGTTTCACGGCTCCAATGGCTCATTCCAGTCAGATGCACGGGATCCCAGAGACATCGGACAGATGCAAGCACTGCCCAGAAAAAGCTGAACTCGCCTGCGCCAAGGGGGACGGACTGGGATTCAGCACTGGATATCAGAATCCATTACGAGGCGAAGGGGAGTCTGATCCCCAGATCTTCCTATAACCCTAAATGAAGGAAGTTTGGTTTCTCCCTACTGTGGTATGTTATGGGCCAAGTCCCGATAGCAAGCTCAGACCTTCGAATGCCATGCCTGCCCAGTGCGAGTCTGTGAGTCGAAATGAAGGAAGATACCTCAAGTCATACTGGGATCCTTGGTATGGAGTATGGTCCTTTCCTCGATTAGAGGATTTGGGGGGAGATCTAGGTTTGCTTATTGTTGTAGCCACCTGCGAACGTGAAGTTCAGGAGTGTTTTGGATTTGTCGGCCGACGCCTAATGTCCAGCGCAATGCATAGGATTGTATCCGAGTCAAACATTGCGACCCCTCAGCCTCAGATGAATCACACGCCAGAGTGTGTTGACACCGTGTCTCTAGAGCAACTTGTGCTACGGCAGTCAACGTAGGGAAGGTGATAGGACAGGCTCCGATGTCGGAATGTTGGCACCGTCCGGCTTGGCCTGCAACCAGGTCGAGGTCGCTTACCTGCTTGCCAGACTCGATGAGCGACTTGCTCCCAAATGGGACTTTCCGAAAATTAGGATACCTTATGTTGGGGTCCTTATAGTAAGGATCCCACTATTTGGGGTACTATATTAGGGCCCCCTATTTTGAAACCCCCAAATCAGTTACAAAGATGTTCGGGATGCCTAGGCTGACTGGCGATCACGTCCCTGGGCGCCGAAACCCCCAAAACTCTGAAGAGTCCTTGAGTGCCAAACAGCCCAATCTGAGGACGGAGCGACCTGACCCAGAGAAGGAGCTGTGGCTGCTTCATGTCTTAACCGGACGGCGAGCTTGCGCTATGCAGGAGTCGACGGCTTGGTTTGGGACTGCGAGCGGCTCAGGGATGCTCAAGAAAACCTTGCAGGATCCGGCGCCTTGTGCATCCAAAGTGTTCCTGAAGCCGTCATGTATAGACACACATGCCCCATCATCCTTCAGATGCTCATCGCCCACCCTAAACCCTAAACCCTAAACTTTACGACCGAAGGAGGATCTCAATATCAGGGCCGACCAGCTCTGAGACGGCAAGTTAGCCATGCCAGAGCCTTCAAAGAGGCCCAAAGCGGCCCCAAACATTCGCAGGATCCGAAAGAAAGCCATAGAAAGGAACCCTGAACTTTACCCTAAACTTTTAGGGTTTAGGGGCCCCATTAAGCCTGTAACTGAAGGTCTGCTTGGGCAAGAGTTGATTAGTTAATGCAAGCCGCATCGAAGCTAAGTCTTCATCTGTTACAGTTGTGATCAGGTTCAGCCGGTAACACCGTCTAGGTATGAAGACATGACACACTGGAGTTTGGAGTTGTGGTGATCTGCACTGACGCCTGCGTTTACAGTTCGGCCCAATGTGCAGCCCCGATGAGGTGGCTTCTGATGCTATCTACGAGTTGATTTTGAGCACCGCGCAAAACCAAGTCACTCGACGTACAATGTGCTACAATACGCCGGAACTCTGGACATGTAGGGAGGTCACGCTTACCTTACCCAAGTTGACAGGTGACAGCTGTGCGCGTTTAGTGGGTAATGCATCCCCCAGACAGACACGTCGGACATGGCACTGCGAGAGCAACTGTCGCAGCTTATCCTCTCCGATGTGGACGGGAGGCACCACTCGGGCAAGCTCGAAGTTGACTGTAAGATATACAGGTAGGAAGAACCGTCCCTCTTCAATGCGGCACAAATGCGACGTAGCTTTGCAGGAGATATCGTCCAGGCACTTCTTGCAGAGGCCGAAGCGCCAATGAGACCAATTTCTGCACCTCGTTTCAATATGCATGTATATATGGGTATACTGATATACATACATACTTATACACACATATCTGTACATGTATACATACTCTTATATATATATGTGTGTGTAATACAGATTATATAGTGAGTTTATATTAAAGCTTGTACATTTGTGTATTTACTTGCTTAGTTGGAAGCACGTGCATGCAGCCTGCAGATTTGCAGTTGTCGACTTGCAACACGCGACCCTCAAAACCCTTAACCCTAAACCTCGCTTGTGGGCATAGATCTCAGCCACTCTAAACCGTAAACCCTCAAAACTCTAAAACAAAAAAACTCACCTGTGGGCATAGATCTCAGCCATGCGAGAGGGCAGAAAATCCTCAGGCGTGGACACATGTCTCAGCTCGGAGGTGCCCGACTCCACCTTCCAACACTGCAACCTTGGTACCGATTTGGGGCTAAGGGGGCTAGGGATTGGTAACTACTGTTTTGTATAGATCTACTTGATTTGGGGTTTAGGGTTTAGGGCTTGTTCATTTCCCTTAATTAGTGTTTAGTTTAGAACCCTAATTGTGAATGGTTTTGAGAGACTGTTGAAAACGACGCCTAGGCAAGGAAGTTTGCATCTGTCACACGTGGCATCGGGAAGCTGCGGACATTCTGATGTGCACCTTCGGTGTTGCTTCCTTATGCGCCTGTCTTTTGATTGCACCAGAGTGAAGGCCAAGTACGAGAATCTATCAAGTAATATACTTTAGTAAACTTTAATATGTGCCGTGTCGATATGCTATAATGTACTGTATATGTTTTAATGTACCAGAGCAGTTTGCGAGCTGAGGTCTTCTTGTGTTTTGTGCTGACATCTCGAAGAGAGGCAGGCCAAGCTCAAGAACTGGAACGTCACTTCGGCAAAAACACCAGGACAGCAACGCTCAACAGCACGGGCCCTCTTGCTTGAGCTGAGCTTAGGCAGAGTTCCTGCCTTCGATGGTCGAATGGCTGCAACTTCTATAACAGTGCCCTGGCATTCGCCAGAAGCCATCGAGCTCATTTCGACATGTCTTTCGTGTGCTGTCCTTGTGAAAACCCAAACTTACCAATCGACACTTCAGTGCGCGGGTACCTCCGCTGCATGCGCAAAAAACCTTTCTACCAAAATCTGGCAAACAGTGGCGTCCGTGTTGCCTTTGTCGTGCGGCAGGGCCACCCTCCGACAAAGCTTCCGAGGTCTCTATTATGTCGCATACGCCGTGTCCGACTCTTGGTCGCCACTCTGGGACGAAAGCTGTGGAACAGGCATTCAGGACCTCTTCAGCAACCAGTGCCATCAAGCAGGCGGATCACCCATGTGTTTCTTGAGTCTCGGCTCTGGATGGAGCGCTCGCCTTGCTTTAGAGCATTCCCCGTCTTTTAGTTTGTCGAAGTCCACTACACCCTAAAAATTGTACGAGGAACTGCTGCTTCTTTGCTGTACCATGGCTGGAGTTCTTCGGATATGGCTCGTACCTTTGGAACATCATGTGGCCGCTGGGCCGCAGGGTTCCGGAGCATGTTCAAGGCGAGAAGACCCGTACGGCATCTGCTTGGCCAGAGCATTCTCAATTTCCAAGGCGTTTCTTCAGTCGCTGCAAGTCTTGAACCCTAAGCATCCCTAAACCCTCAAAAAAAACAAAAGTGACGGAAGGATGCCGGCAAGCAACTGCTGCCGGACACGAGGGTCCCACCCCTTCGGGTTGACGGTGCCAGAACTTAGAATGTACAATATGGGTAGTTCTCTAAAGAAGGGTCCCTTTGGGGGTCCTTTTTATAAGGGTGCCGTACTATATTTGGGGGCCCAAAAAGGACCCTAATTTAAAGAACCACCCATATGATTGTAGATTGTACAGAATACTCAGAAATACGCTCTAGTTTGAATAGCGCTTGAGTTTAATAGAACCGCGGACTCAGGCTTCTCGACCTGGCCAGATTTACATTGAAGCCCCTTGCACCGGCGCCTTGCATCAGATGCTGCAAGACTTGGATGTTCGCGCTTCGTTCTGTCTCAGTCCTTCTTTGCTCAAAAGCTGAACTTCCCGAAAAGATGAGGAGAAAGTGCTTGGCATTCCGTTGCCACTTTGATGCATTCACTGCCAACAATGAGCTTCAAGATACCTGCACAAACTATCGCGGTTTCAGGGTCGTTTTCTACCACACTGCGACCTGGCCGTTGGCAGCTCTAGTTGCCTTCGACATAAACGGCGCTCGCTTGACGACTACCGTTTGCCGCGAGGTCGGGGGTTCGAAACGACCCAGAGAGCCCAACACCCCTTGATTAAGAAATATACCATTATAGGGGCCGTAATAGTAGGATTTGAGGTGTATTCCTTAATTCAGGGTACTGGGTTTATACCTGCCCACGTGATGTGTGTTCTACGATATACTACAAGACGATTACCACAACAGCAACAAAGCCGTGAATGACGCCCCTCCCCCCCCCCCTTTTGAATTCGACGGTGAACAAACCCAAGGCTCAACCCTAAGCTAGTTCCATGAAGCTTTGCGCATGGATGGTCCCTGTGTGGAAGTGGCGGCATGCCGAAATTGCCTAAAGCCATCGACGTGTGATGCCTAGCGACTCGTTCAGCAATCCCAAACTTTAGTCACCCCAAGCCGTAGGCCCTGTACACCCTCAGGCCTCTAACAGCCCTGAAGCTGTCCTTTGCGCAGGCCCGGATTGTCATGATGCCATGTATTCTTCGGAGACAGAACATGGAGGGTGATCTGCCCTGGCTCCTCAGCGCTCTCAGAAATCCGAATGGAGTAGGGGATGTTGGTTTTAGGGCCGCGTGAGGACTTCAGCCTTCCTGCGAGAATTGCTGAGGCTACAGGTTGTGAGAGGATTTATAAAGTTTATTCCCCAAACAGCGAAGTATTGGGGTTCTCAATTTGTGCAAAGAGAGGGATAGTGTGACGCGCCTCACCGGGGACTAGCCGGATTTGTCTCCCTTCATAAACTCAATGTAAACTGTTGTCTCCGATGTTGTCTCCGCTCTTCTGAGTGAGGGAATCTGAGTGAGGGAGCCAGATGCTGTGACG